GAGAGAGACCAACTCTTATCTACCCCTGGGAGCCCCGTAATGCATGGCGTCATTTCAACATGGGGGTGTCCGCGACACGGTTTATATGCAGGTAGCGGCGCTGCGGCTGCTTTATATAGCGACTCGTTGCATTCTCCCTCAACCCAAATCGTCGGATCACGCATTTTAGCTAAAACGCTAACGTTAGCTTGCCTTGCGTTGACGAGTTGTAGGTGATGGTCACGCAGATGTGTCATGAGATTTGAAGCGTTGCTGCCTTTCACAGACACGTTTTCTGCACGTGCTGCAAACAGGATAGCCGTCTTCTATCAACTGGCCCTCGGCATTCTTCAAATATCTAAAAGATGCCTGTAATTCCGACTTTGTCTTCTTTGAGGGATAAAACATGTCCTCCTGAGCACTGCCTTCTCCTCCTTTGGCCATTATTTCAGCTTTAGCTTCAAGAAAGTTTTGGTTGTAAACAGCAAAGCGCGCATGTGCCGCCGGCAACTTCAGCTGTATGGTGTCAGGTTTCCGCCAAAACCCGTGCAAGCGTAGCCAAAACCCGTGCACGCGTATTGTGCACATCGCGCGTGCGAACGGGACTCGCGCGTGGAGGTTAGAACCTCATGAGTGAAAATATACATGGCGAGGAGGTCATTTGTACACTGAGAGGGAGCAAACTGTGTCTGTGAGCGCACAAGGATGTGCACAAGTGACAAACCTGCGTGCGCTCGTTGGCCAACGAGCACACGGCAGAGGAAAACATGCGCGCGGCAGCCTCACTGCGCGCTCGGTGCGGCAGCCTCACTGCACGTGTGGCAGCCTTTCTGCGCGCTCGGTTTCCGATTCTGCTCGCTCGGCTGTTGGGAGTTTTGGCACTCTGGAGGCGTGGAAGAATTAAAGTGCCAGAAACTGAGCAGTTGAACTTTCAATTTGAGAGCAGAATTTCATATCAAGAGACCATCTTTTTAATTTCAGAATACTATTTTATATTATTGCTCTCAAAACTTGTAATGCTTGCGCTCAAAATGTCTGCTCTCTTTCAAATTCACTCTGTTCTCCTTCAAATCTTTGTTTTTGCGCTCAGATTTAACCTTCTTACACTGGTATTGTCTTCTCATGTGACAACTTTTTCTCTACACGGATCAAAACTCCTCCCACAAGTCTGTCCCCTGCTCTCACGGATCTTGTCTGCTCTCGCTCAAAACTTAGAAGTACAATCTCCTAGCAACCGCTCAGCCAATAGAAAGACTTGTGGGACTGGGCGGGAACAAACCTCTTTGGGGTGCGCTCGTTTTGCGCTCTGTGGATTTTCCTGTGTGGCTGCCGCATCTGCGCACTAACAGCCTGGCTAATACCCGATCTGGAGCGAGAGTTTCACCTGCACCAGCAAAATGGACCAGAACCAACAAGACGCTCAAGTAAGTTATTTTCCAAGGCTACTAGCTGCAGTTTATTCCATAAAATTGTTTTATTATGCTACTTTTTACGACTCCTCACATTTAATATTGCAACAGGGGCACATAGCTAGGTGGATTAGGGTCCTACATGGAATAAAATGTCCGGTGTTTTATCCAGGAACTGGGGATCGAGTTATGAGGGGCTAGATATGTGTCAGGGAAAGATCCAAAAATGTTTTCTAGTGCCGTATTCCCCAGAGTTGGATAAGTGAATGAAAAAGGATTGTTTTAACCAGCACAGTAATTCTTATCTGCCAGCAGTCTGTCTGCTTTAGATGAGAATAAACCATGTAACTTAATGGGAGGTAGTAGCATTTTGTGTGCAAAACTGTAAAATTACTAAATTATGATACCAGTTATTCCTGTTGAGCTCAATAATCATGTTGACTGCAAATGAAAAGTAAGAAGTAACACATTTGCAGGAGCCAATTTAGACAGTAGACAAATTTTCACTTAGGGTGGAATATCCCTTTAAATCAAACTTCAAACATGCACGTTAGCAATATACAGAATATTTTAATTACATTTCATGTTAATCATTATTGTTTACTTAACAATGATTGTTGGTCACTGATTTAAAAAAATGTCTTTAATAGGTTTCCTGTCCATTGTGTGATAAGAATTTACTCAGGAGTCTATACAACTGCATGCCAGCTTTTGTGGTGAAGGAGGAAGAGGACAGGTGCATGTTTTTACCCATGCACGTTGTACACAAAATGTTATGAGAGTTTAATCTTTTTTTTTGTTTGTTTCCACATCTGAACAGCATCATACTGGATGTGGATGACTCTTCCAAGCACTTAATCTGGTTAGAATTTTTACAAACATTTGTGTTAATGTGTAGGTTTTAAAATAAATAATAATAAACACAATGTTGTTGTCAATAGCTTATCAGACATCCTGAAGTTCCTACAAGAAAGAGTTGACAACACTAAAACCTTTAACATAATGTGACAAGGGACGACCTTTACCAGAAAGGTCTGAAACAGCGGGCCAGACAGAAGCAGGCTTCCCCCAAAAACCAGCTAATTGTTTCCTTTATTGGAGAACACGACATTGATGAAGGAGCACTACGCCGAGAGTTCCTAACTGGTATGTATTCCTTGCTAATGTCAACATACCAACTTTGAATATAGTTGAAAATGGCAAACTGTCATTTCTTTTTTCCCAATAGAAATGATGCGAGGCCTTGAGTTGAACTTATTTGAAGGAGTTTCATGCAAAGGCAAAACCCCAAATATAGTATCTCTTACTACCAGGAAAACAGATACAGGTATGTACAGTATGATGCTGCTCTACAGTGTAACTTGGCTTGTTTTGTGTTCAGGATCTGTGGGGAGATCATTGCCACCAGCTTGGTTCAAGCAGGACCAGCACCGAATTTCTTTTCTACTTGGTCTTACCATTTCTTGCGTCATGGACAAATAACAAATGAAGATGTGCCAGAGGTGACTGATACGGCAATCCAGAACCTGATTCAGGAGGTAAATTAAACAGAATAATTTATTTTCTGTAAATTGTACTAACAAGTGTTTCTGATTGAAGGTCGAACGTGCCGAAGAAGACGCACTGACAGACCTTTCTGATGCCATTGTAGCATGTGGCTACACTGGTCAATTCACAGCAATTGCAAAAGGGCCATCATTGAGTAGGCTATGTTAATGTAGCATTAAACAAGTCATGCAATTTTTGAAAATTGAGTTATTACAAGTTCATTATTCTTTTTACTAGGGCCATCAGTTTGCATTCGGTGATGAGACTCATACCGATGCTAAGTCAGCTTAGAGAAGGACTGGCCATCTAGGGTTTGGATGAGCTGTTGCCACAACACCACCAGGCACTTCAGCCCCTCTTTCTTCCTGGGAACCTTAAACAGGTAAGTACAAATTCTTTAGGCCTCTGCAAAAAAAATATGTCCATTACAAAAACATATAGGAAATGCAGAGAAGCTGAAGCTGTTTTTGTTCCATCAACAGTTCTAATCGATTCTTATAAAAATACTAAGAATCAAATCGATTCACAAGTACAATAATCTGTTTGTTTAACAATGTTTGCCCCAATTTATTTTTTACAGCTATCATTTTTTTTACAGACAGCAATTTTAAGTTTTCTTTAAGGAAGCTATCAGATGTATTTTTTATTCTAATATCATGGCAATGAAGTTTTACATATTTTTTAGTGGTATACATCTTCATTTTCTTATATTAATTTAGCTCTGCAGGATAAGCAGAAGCAGCCCTAACAGTTTTATCTTTTTAATTCACAGTATTTTTAAAAACGTCTTTTGTAGGTGGATGCAGACTTCGTTGTGGAGGCACTGGCTCCTCAGTACAGTGACAATGGATCAGTAAGACACAAAGGAAGTGGACATGATCAACTTTTTGCAGGACCTCTTGCAAAACCTGGAAAAAGGAGGTAGCCACAGAACCATGCAGGATTATTCCACTTTTACTGCTCATAATGCTTAGCTCTTTTTAAAATTGTTATGTTCAGTGCCTTGGGCTCCTGCAAAGGCAGTGGAAGATGTTACATAAATAAAAATTGATTGATTGAGAAAATTTTGAAGTGTCAGAGAGACCATTGTGTTTCACTCAATCCCCCATCAAATAAAAAAAATTTAAAAATAAATTATATTTGTTTTGAAACTGATTTAGCCATTACACCTTAATTACAGAGAGGTAATCAGTACCTCAATCATGTTAGTGACACACTGATTTTTTTTTCACCCTTCAGGAACAGATGACCAAGATGGGAGCCCATCAGATGGCTGTGGAGCAAAGCAGTTGTCAGTGCAAGGATTTTTTTCAGTGGGTTTCAGGCCAGGCACATTTGCCACTAACAGACACAGAAAGAGAATTTTACAAGATAACTAAATGTTGATCACGACAGTACCACCCGGTATGGACCACACTTAATCACCTTACCTACATGGCACGTTACTACATACACTGACTTTGAAAGTCAGCTTACTCAGGCAGTCTGTGATAGATTTGATTTTAGCAGACATTAAGTGAAAACAAGATGGCCACTGTTCTGGGTTCAGGTTACTGTATAATGGTTCAAATTTAACTTTGAATCCAAAAAGACAAATGGTTTTGTTAAATAATGTAATGTTTTGGAGCTAGAAAGCGACATTGTTACATGAATCCATAAAGTTAGGCTTATTGCCATTTCAAATACATGTTACGTATTTCTTTTGTAACATTAAAAAAAGCACTGGAACTGATCTCTTGATTTTTTATTTCAAGTACACATTAATCTGACAAAGCAGCATTAACATATTCTCTGCACAATAGATAAAAGTTCCTTAGTGTTTGAACGCTCCCAATTTTGTGCCAGTAGCAACTGCAGTTCAGCATCTTAGGTGTTCTTGCTGTGTCTTTCTAAATCCATGCTTTCGTTCTTTTTTAAACACAGAAACAGTTTTGTTTACCTGTTAGTAGCTACAGTTTCGCCGACGGCTGCCGGCTTCTTCAGGCTGACGCTGTTGGTGGCGCGTCACTTCCTTCTCCGTTTATCTGCGGGCAGCAGAGACAACTGCCCGCAGATAAACGGAGAAGGAAGTGACGCGCCACCAACAGCGTCAGCCTGAAGAAGCCGGCAGCCGTCGGCGAAACTGTAGCTACTAACAGGTAAACAAAACTGTTTCTGTGTTTAAAAAAGAACGAAAGCATGGATGCAGTTCAGCATGCTGCTCTTCAGTGAGGGGACTGTCGAACTCCGGGACCACAGCAGCACCGTCCACATCTGGGCTGTACTCTGCAGCAACATCCCAGTCGATGTCTGGCTCTTGGAAATCCTGACATTACAACAAGAGAACAATGATGATGTTTCTATATTGAGCTGCAATTTGTCAACAAATAAGCAAAATTTCCTAAATTTTAATAGAAACCAAATTATCACATTGTTGTGCAGGATTACTATATGTCAAAATTAGATTAAAAAAATTACAAATAGCAGGGACAAGAATAACAAAAATTCAAAATGGTTTTGATTTAGAACTTTTACTATTTTGCAGGGGTGTAATTGTCATTTACTTGCATCACCGTAATTAAGTACAGTTTGCAATTTAAAATGTTTAACCTTTAGTAGGTTTTAGGGCTGGTTGATGAATAAAAGCATATTAATTTAAAAAAATCTAATCGATCGATAGATAATTATTTCAAAATTTTAAAACCGTAGAAGAGAATATATATTGAATTGCATCCCTGGCCATTTTATGCTATTTCTTTAAGCGACAGTCTGTAGTTTTCTGCCACTAGGGGGCAGTACGTACCTAAATCATAACAAACAAGCTACATTTTTGTGTTCCGTGATGAGCCTACCAATGAATAGCCGTAAAGGCCACCAAAAAAAGCACTGGGAGTGTTGCAGCACAATTTTTTTACGGGCTAACTACCTTGTCAGATCGTTCAACCTCCTGCAAAATGACAACAGGCACATCGGACTCCCTTTCATCAGTCAGCAGTAGAGAAATGCCATATTTCACATTCAGTATCTTTTAAAGCGGCATTCAGTATGTTCATAGAGCTCCTCATTTAGCTTCATGTTTGTGTTTCAATCTTTATTGAAATAATTTTTTAAACTTCCTGTAGAAAGCAAGGAGATCGTGACGTAACAGTTTTTTTTATTTTTATATAACTTTATTAACAAACAAAGCTTACAGGCAGATGTAACTGCTGGTTGTTGGAACTGTGAGCTGCACAAAAACAGGCATAGTTGCTCCAATGACTGGATTCAAATTGGGTTTTGGAGTTAGAAACCTACTCAATATGGCGGTGAAGCAGTTACTCTCCAGCAGCCAATGATGTCTATGGTACGGCTTATGTACAGAGAAACATGCTGTCTAAAGCCTGGTTCATGCTTCTCCGTCAGCTCCGCAAGGGACAGACACGCACGGATTGACGGAAGTGTTTTGCTCTCATACTTCTCCGTCTCCTGGAGAGTGTTGCAAAGCAATTCCTCGGCAGGACAACAGAGGGCGTAGCGCTGTTCTGTGGTATCCTGTCATGTATTGGTCCAAGATAATGTGTTTATATTGTATTTTTTGTGTATATAAGAGACTTTTAACACGGACATATTTGTCTCTCATTCTCCTCCACCTCCATGCGCTCGCCACCTCTAAACCCACGTTTCCTGTCATTTCCGTCCACAAATAAAACGCTTGCTGCGCATCTTCTCTCTCCTCCAGTCACGGGGGAACTAAAAGTTCATGTTTTTAGAGTTTTTTCGCAAGGTATTCTTCAAGCTGCTCCGTGTCTGCTGCTTGTTATCCTCGGCTCTCTTTATGTTTTTGAGGGTGCAATGGCGGCGCTGTAAACAACAGCGGCATCCTGACCAATCACAAGCTTGCGTTGTCTGTCTCGACTGACGGCTGTTTAGAAAAGAGAGCTTTACTCCGTCCGTCCTTGCGGAGCTCTCCGGCAGGCACGCAAGGACGTCGCGTGTCTCCGCACTGACGCAGACGGAGAAGCATGAATCAGGCTTAAGGCTACGTTCACACGGCAGGTCTTAAAAATCCATTCAGAATTTTTGAGTAAATTTAATGTTTTGTGTGGTTGTTCACATTATAACTGAAATACAACAGCAAACACTCTCCTGCGTTAACGTTAAAAGTACAGAAGAGAACAAGAACTCACACACTAGGAGCTCTGTGGAGTCTGAACTGAGAGGTGGAGCTGTGATCCCAAGAGCTTCACTGACAGACTTCATCCACAATTCCAGGATCACACCTGTCAAGTCTCCTGTTTTGAGCTGGAAACTATTTTTAAAACTAAACTATTTTACTCCTTATTCTCACAGTCGTCCCATGTTAGTATTTTCCCTCACTTAAGCCGCTTTCACATCTGGGTCGGCATGGATGCGTTCGGAACCAAATGTTTTGTTCGCATATGGCTCACATGTGTGTATTTCGTTCTAAGGAGACTTTTTTTTCCAGACTACTTCCCTCGGAGGTCCGGCTGGTGCCGAGCAGACACTATGGACTGATTGGCAGCTGAAACTCACACCTACCGCCTCCTATTGGGGAGTTGGATCAAACACCGGGGGGTTTCCGCATATGCGATTACTTTTCATCCTGGTTGCTGTTTAGCCCACATGAAGCACTAAGCTGCTGTCTCCCGCTCCGCAGCAGAGGAGGACAGCAGTGTGTGTGTGTGTAGCAGCGGTTATAAGGACACGTCTGCAGCGGAGGACACTACAGCGCTGAAGTAGGAAGGATTAGAGGAGAGCAGATTATTAGAGAAGCGCAGTGTGTGTTGGTGCAGCGGTTTGATGAGGAATTATTGTTTAGCATAGGCGGACACCGCAGACTTCTTCCGCGCGTCTTTACCGCCGCCCACATGCTCGGGGATTTCCGCATTCCTGAGAAGTCCTGGGAATCACATGTGAACAAGAAACCACCCGTTCTATTCCGAACTCACGTGGCTGAGCCCCGACCATAGCAAAGCATCAAAAAACGGAACCAGAAAAACTTTTAGCGCTGAACTCACCTTCAAAATTAAATGTTAACCCTAACGTTTACAGTTGAAGCCATTACAACATGTTTGAGGTAATTTGGCCACTCCGGCTCTCTGTAGTGGTTTCCCAATTACACGAGGGAGGGAGGGGTAAACAGAACTCCGTTGGTAACCACAGTGAACAGGCTTGATGAAACATGAACGAATATCCCCAAATAATTAAAAACCATGAAGCCAAATGCAAAGTTTAGGGCAGAACATTGACCCAGAGGTTTTCTGATTGAGCAGATTTGTGAGAATACATGAAATGACCGCTTACAGACGGAGCAAGCTAGTTGCTAGCTTATGTGGCTTGACTAGTTATATCAATACAAAGTCATCTTGTTTCTCGTTTAAAATTATATTTATAATTTTAAAATATCTATATATTGCCCAGCCCTAGCTGTAGCCTATACTACACTGCTTACATTATTTCAGAATTTAATTTCACTATGTAAAAAAAAAAATACAGTCAATTGCAGAAAGCCTCTTTCTAAGATGAATAATAAAGCATCATTGGAATAATTTAATTTCAAACCACTGAATAGACCAATGCAGATGTCAAATATTTACATTTCTACACTTAACTTACCTTGACATTTCTTGATGAACTGTAGACCGAGGGATAGTCTGTTAAGGTGTTGTCGCTGGTGTTGTGCGCTGTGGCACAGTTGGTGTTTGTTGCGGGCCCTCTGCTTGTAGATGAGCATTCAGTAAATCCATAAGGTTTCTCGTAACTTCTCGGATGGAACCAGTCTAAAGAAATACAACAAAAAACACAGAAAAAGTTGTATTTGGTTATACAGCAAATGGGAAACACCTACAAATTGAAAAAAATTGTAATTGGCTTGCACATTTATTGAAATTTATCAAGTCCAAGGCCTACAAAGCACTTTACACAACAGCCACACCCTTTTCACATGCTTACAGTGGTGATAAGCCAGATAGTAGCTACAGCTGCCCTGGGGCACACTGACAGAGGCGGGCCTGCTGAACACTGGCACCACCGGTCCCTCCGACCACCAACAGCAGGCAAAGTTGGTTAAGTGTCTTGCCCAAGGACACAACAGCAGCACTCTCTGGTTGGAGCTGGGATGGAACCTGCTGTTTATCTGGCCCTGACCCACGCCTGTTCCCTGACCATGCACCAACCTGCTTCCCTGGATTACCATGAGAATTTCAGGACTAAACTTTTAATAAAGCTTTTACACATTTTCTTATTTTCTGGTGTCATTACAGGTCCTCCACCTCAGCCATTACATTCATTTTCCTCTACATCTTCTGTGGTTTAACATGCAACAGTGAATTGTGCTGCATCATGGTACCACAGACTGTGTAATACAACATTTCGCGCATTTCACAGAAAACAAATGTTAGTTCGCTTACACCAGAAATACAACCTTACTCATTGCTGAGACTTAGAAACAGAAACTGTTTTTGTTTTGTTACTGCTTATGTAACCCCAGACTCAGTATTAGTAAGTTAGGCTCATTATGTTTAAAGACCAGCGGCTAGGTTTGACAGGATTACAAAAAGAAATAATGCAAGTGCAAAATGAAATGGAAGGAGGCAGGAATTGAGCAAAAATAGAAATTGTTATTTTGTTGGGGAAATGACTACTGGATTACACTCACTTAACATAGCATTAATATTTTCAGAAACATACAAACAGATTGAAAGCTAGCTGACGCGCCAGTCAGGGCAGGTGTTGTGTCAAAATGTGTTTCCCTATCAAAAACGGTTTTCTCCTACGGCTTTGGTCAAAATTTTCCATCGTTCAATTATAACGAGTTCCACTTTTTAATAACATTCTCTTACTTTGATGACCCATCTTGTTCATTACAGCGCGAGAAAAACATTGGGATATATTTATGTCGATGGATGAAACACATTTTGATAGTTAGCAGTTAGATGAGGAAACAATGTTCATGGAGTAAACGCTAACGAATAACTACTGTAATGTCCAAAGAGCTAACTATTAAAAACAAAGGTGGGAATACTAAACAAAAAACATCTACACTAGGTCCAGAGCTAGCATTGGGGACGAGTGATATGTTAGGGTAAAACTCAAATCTGCTGAGGCCATTTTATGAAAGTTGTAGCTATAGTGAATAACCTAATCCACCTAGCTATGTGCCCCTGTTGCAATATTAAATGCGAGGAGTCGTAAAAAGTAGCATAACAAAACAATTTTATGGAATAAACTGCAGCTAGTAGCCTTGAAAAATAACTTACTTGAGCGTCTTGTTGGTTCTGGTCCATTTTGCTGGTGCAGGTGAAACTCTCGCTCCAGATCAGAGCGGGTATTAGCCAGGCTGTTAGTGCGCAGATGCGGCAGCCACACAGGAAAATCCACAGAGCGCAAAACGAGCGCACCCCAAAGAGGTTTGTTCCCGCCCAGTCCCACAAGTCTTTCTATTGGCTGAGCGGTTGCTAGGAGATTGTACTTCTAAGTTTTGAGCGAGAGCAGACAAGATCCGTGAGAGCAGGGGACAGACTTGTGGGAGGAGTTTTGATCCGTGTAGAGAAAAAGTTGTCACATGAGAAGACAATACCAGTGTAAGAAGGTTAAATCTGAGCGCAAAAACAAAGATTTGAAGGAGAACAGAATGAATTTGAAAGAGAGCAGACATTTTGAGCGCAAGCATTACAAGTTTTGAGAGCAATAATATAAAATAGTATTCTGAAATTAAAAAGATGGTCTCTTGATATGAAATTCTGCTCTCAAATTGAAAGTTCAACTGCTCAGTTTCTGGCACTTTAATTCTTCCACGCCTCCAGAGTGCCAAAACTCCCAACAGCCGAGCGAGCAGAATCGGAAACCGAGCGCGCAGAAAGGCTGCCACACGTGCAGTGAGGCTGCCGCACCGAGCGCGCAGTGAGGCTGCCGCGCGCATGTTTTCCTCTGCCGTGTGCTCGTTGGCCAACGAGCGCACGCAGGTTTGTCACTTGTGCACATCCTTGTGCGCTCACAGACACAGTTTGCTCCCTCTCAGTGTACAAATGACCTCCTCGCCATGTATATTTTCACTCATGAGGTTCTAACCTCCACGCGCGAGTCCCGTTCGCACGCGCGATGTGCACAATACGCGTGCACGGGTTTTGGCTACGCTTGCACGGGTTTTGGCGGAAATCTGACACCATACAGCTGATGATACGGTGGCTGGTAAGGGTCACCGCGCCTACACCGCAGCCACGGTAATCCACCGAGATAATATAGTTTTTTTTAAAACAAGACGGTTATTATTGTCAACTTTTTTTTTTACCGGGGTTTACCACTACACTGGTTACCGTGACAACCCTACCTGATCGGTCTGCTTTGATCTATTTTGAAAACTCCGATCAAAACCAATAAGGGCGCTATCGGCCAATTACGATCAAATGCCGATCCATCAGTGCATCCCTAGTGCTCATGGGATTGTTTTGCATGCCTGAGAACTGGGAATTCCCAGACTTCTTGTCCTGCCCCAAACATGCCAAACATTAGCATGTTTGCACCAAACACACAGATGAAGATCTATGAGTAACATCTGGTCTGTTTCAGGCAACCAGCCAGTTTCTAGAGGAGATCAACAAATGGACCAGTCAGCACAGCGTGTCGCCGCTCTCCAGGGATTTGGCCGTCAAGTTCCTCATGGCTCGCAAGTTTGACGTCCTCCGTGCCATCGAGTTGTTCCACAGCTACAGGGTGAGGAGACCGTCTGGCTCTAACCACAACCAGAACCACATTAAAGAACTAAAGAATATGGTGGCTTTCATTTAGCATCATGTTAAAGTGACACTGCTCCAGATTAATCATTGAACAAGTTCTTGTGTAGGTGGAGGTCCTTGTAAATTTTTCAATGTGTCCGAAAAGGACAACGAATTTGCAGTTTTCAACGTGTGCGCAAAGGAGATACGCCGAGGCAAGGCAGCTTTATTTGTATAGCACCTTACAACAGTATAAAACTGACCAAAGTGCTTCACAGAAATTAAAACATTAAAAAACAATACACAACATAAAAATGCATAGACTAAAGCTTAAGAACTAACACTAAAAATACTAAAAAAAGACTCATGCTGAGTAAAAGCCAAATCATAAAAATAGGTTTTCAAAAGAGATTTAAACCAGACAGTGAAGAGGCTGACCCAATGCTCAAAGGCAGCTCATTCCAGAGCCTAGGGGCCGCTACAGATAAAGCCCTGTCACCTCTGAGCTTACGACTTGTTTCAGGGACTTCCAGAAGCATCCTATCAGCCGACCTCAGAGACTGCAGGGGAGTAAAAACCAGTAGCTCAGAGAAGCAGGAATGCTACAAAAGAATTTCAACACAACAAACCTGATATGACATTTGAAAGTTTCTCACACCAAGGAGTACACCGAGTTTACAACTTTGGCTGCTGCTAAGGCAGAGAGAGAAAAGCAACGTGCAGCAGCAACATCAACAAAAAGAAAGAACTAAGTCATAAGGTCATGGAATTAATATGCCTTGACCGTCAGCCGCTTGCCAAAGATATCGGGTTTAAACGCCTCATTAACTGCTTTGAGCTACAAGCTGCCTACTCGTAAATATTTCACTGACGAATGCCTGTCGGAGCTATATCACTGTATTTACAGTCAAATCCAAAGCCTTTTCTAGGATGACAACATCGTGTCGGTCGGCTTTGCGACTGACATTTGGAGTTCTAGTGTGAGTACCATATCGATGCTGAGTCTAACTGCACAGCTTATTGATCAGACGTTTGAGCTGAGGAGAGTGGCGCTTCACTCACAAGAGTTTCCTGGATCACACATGGTGGCTGCCATCTCTAAAGCTTTCACAGACATGTTCCAAAAATGGGGGCTCCCAAAGCAAAACGTACACGTTATCCTACGGGATAATGCGAGAATATGGCGAAGGCTAGGAAGGACGCTGGCTTACCAAGCCTGCCATGAACTCATTCAAGATGTGTTGGTCTTAAAAACTTAAAGTAAGGTTGAGGGTAAAGTTCTCTGAAAATCTGTTATTCTCAGACAAGAATTAGATTTTCCAGCCCCCGCCCTCCTCACCTGCTGTAATTTGCTTTCTTCAGGAAACACGTCTTAAAGAAGGAATTGTCAGACTTCAGCCTCACGAGGAGCCGCTACGCTCAGAACTGCTGAGTGGGAAGTTCACGGTGTTGGTAAGTCATGCACGCCACTGTGGCTTCAACGCAAGGTTTTGGGTCAGGTTACTAAACTCCGCGTTTTATATTCAGACTATTATTTATTGATACTGTTACTTATATAAAGAGGCCAGGGTGGTGGTGGGGGGTGTCATCAGATTCATAACAGCACAACCCAAAAAAAATGCTAAACCAAAAAATTATTTGTAGAGAGAGAAGAGCCCAGGTGCTTAATTTCTAAAGTGGTTTACACATAAAAAGTTTGAGAACTGCAAAAGTTATTTTCTACACAAATTGAGATTTGATAAAGAAAATTTTTATGGAAAAATGGGTCAAACTTTGACTCACACACACACACACACACATCACTCTACACAGGGTTTTCCCCAGTGCTTTACAGGCTAAGTGTCACTTATTTATTTCAAATCATTTTAATGCACCAAATTAACATTTAAAATTTAAATGGTGAGACGATAGGCGCAGGAAGTGCATCTCCCTTGAGCTGATCGAGTGGTGGCTTGATGATGACGCAGAGCAAGTGCGAGTTGGCACGTCGTTGGAGCAACCACCTGTGGGCCTAAGCCATGACTATGAACATTAAACCAGCTGCTTTAATCCTAAATGGTTAGCTGACCCTAAATATGGCGGATGCCTCTACAAGATGGAGTATGTTAAGAATATCTTGAGTTTATATCAAAATTGTTATGTTACACAAGCGCATGTATGCACACAGATGCTCACATGATGCTCTCACTTTTATGGACTTGGGCATTTTAAACACCTGACCTAAGGCTTTGGTTGGCACTTAATGCACAGAATTTTTAACGTGTGCCTTTCAGTGAAAATGGTTACTGTTATATATCCTCCTGTTGTGGGTGCAATGATATTTTGGTTTTGTTGTATTTTTGTGTCCTCTCCTCTCTCTCTTTCTGCAGTTCTAGACATACATACTTGTTCATTATTTATTGGTTTATTTTTTAACCCCCCACCACCACGACCACTTCCTTTCTCTCCCCCTTTCTTTTTCACTTCTGTCTCCGTGTCCGCTGTGATTTTAAACCACCGAAAACATTTCTAATGAAGTTTTGGTATCAGGTGTGGCATCATACCAGAAGCTATAACGCTCCACCTGTGAGAGAAAAACTGTAAGGCTTGTCTTCAGCATTCATACATCAATTCTGAAAGCTTCACAGCTGGACAGTACATTGTAAAAAATAATAATAATAAAAAGCAGATCCAATATCTGTGTAAAGTCAGTAGCATCTCTGCAATGTAATGGAGGCATACAAAACTGCAAATTTTAACATCCTCATATTGACAAGTATTGTCAGTTTACATAAATAAGTATATAAATGGTTTATAACAACACATATTAATCATGATTTAAAACTTCCTGAAAACATTTTGGGCATGGTGGGCTGCTCTACCAAAAGGCTTAGCAAGATTTGTGGGGGAAAACCCTGCCACACTTATATGTATGTCTTCAAATGACTTATGTTGCATTATCTGTGTGTAGGGGATAGACACTTCCAGTGTTCATCAAATTATAAACCAAAACATCACAGCATGCCCTATAGGTTATAAATGGTAAGTCGCTTTGGATAAAAGCTTCTCCTAAATGAATAAACACATAAAATCCTGCAGGGCAGTGAACCGGGCTCGAGGTGTAGCTGTCTGGGTTTTCTTAAACCTTGTTCCAGTAGGAAATCGCAGACAGGTGGTCTGATATTTGTTCGATATGATTAACAATATTTCCTCCCTCAAAGCCCTTTTGGGATAAATTAACTCATCCACTGCCAGCCGTTTCCTGATTGCTAACGGCCTTCGCTGCCTTTCTCACCGTTTTTACTGTTTTTTTAAGAGTCACAGAACGTTGCGCGCTAGCATGATGTCGATGCCAAAACAACCTAAACAAAGAGGAGACTCACCTCTTACATCAGGAAGAAGCCGTGTGTTTTGAGCGTTATCCGTTCTTTCATAATCCGTTGTCGAATTGTGATCGGCAGACGCTTTTCCGTTTCGCGCCTCACTTTTTTTACAGGAACGGCCCAAAACGATCTCCAAACACATGGATGGTCTGCTTCCTGATCATGTGATCTGTGATGTAGGCGGATGAAGATCGGCTTCAGGGCTGGGATGTTTGTTCTATCAGCGCGGGGGCTCGTTCCAATGCTCAAACAGTAAAAAATGCAAATGACGACTTTAGTCGTCATTGGCAGTGAATGAGTTAACTGTTCCCCTTAGATAGTGTCTCATTTGATGTGCACTGTCTCATTTATTGACCCATCTCCAGACTTCTTTTTATCTCTAAAGTACTGGAGAAGGTAACTTACTCTCAGTTGACCGAGTATTTAATGGGAAATTACATATTGGAAAATTGCCAGTCTGGTTTTAAAGCTGTATTCCTTAATTTGGAAAACAAATTAGCTTCAAATGTTTTTTTTATGCCTCTTACCAACATGCTAATGTAGCATAGCTATAAAGATATTGTGGAGTTTTAAAAAATACCAGAAAAAAATTAATAAAGTGGTTCTTTCGGATTTGTCTAAAAACCTCAACCAATCGTTGTTTTCAGTCCGAAAAATTAGGTCAGAGGGTGAATTTGAAGGTTATTTAACATTTTTAACTTGTGTACCCTGGCTTTGAGTAGTCTTTTAGAAAAGCTTCCACACCAAGTTTTATAAATGAAGCCCCAGATCTTCTGTCCTTCATGAACCAATTCAAATAAATCTATTACTTTGAAGTGTCTTCATGGAAGACTAGATAAACTCTGGAAACCTAGGGAATTACTAGCTGATGGTGCTAGTACTCCACCCTCATTCAAACCTTTAATGAAGTAACTTAGTTTTATCATTTAGAATTCAAACCGTGGGTCAGGCTAGGTGTTACTTATCTGTGGGTGTTTCCTGTTCCAGAAAGATTTAGCTCTGTACCTCCCATCACATTTGCACGCACACGCGCGGTAGCATTGATGCTTCACATCCTGCCATCTGACGTTGGACTTCTCCAGCCTCAGCAGCAGGATTCATATCCTGTCTGAGAGTATTTTTAGCTCTGGTGCTGGACAACAGGGACGGGCTTATTTACTGACAAACGACAGTTCTGGTGTGTCTTTGCTCAGAGGTTCTGACTCTCAGGATCCTTGCAGCCATTCTTTAGCTCAGCTAAGCCATTGCAGCCCATGGCCTTTTTTGTGGAATATAATCATTCCTCCTGCTGAAGTAGTTCACGGTCCTTTATGTTTTCTACAAAAACTGGAAAATGAGCTGAAGCGCCCCCTTGTGTTAAATTTTCAGGCTTTTTCTTCCTGAACAGAAACAGAAGCTGCTATCACAGCTGATAAATTCGGTTTAATGGAGTCACACTGACAGCAGGGACACTGATGAAAGGACTTTGTGTCATTCCAGAGCGTGCGTGACCCTTCAGGGGCATCCATCGCTTTGTACACAGCTAAACTTCATCATCCCAACAAGACGGGCAACCACGTGGTGCTACAGGCCCTCTTCTATCTCCTGGACCGGGCTGTTGAAAGGTGCTCTTTAACTTAATGCTGTGTCATCACTCATGTATTCAAAGGTATTGTGGGAAGTCCTTCGGTCGAGTTTGGTTACTGTTGAAGGTTTGTGCTCCTCAGCTTTGAGACCCAGAGGAACGGCCTGGTGTTCATCTACGACATGGCTGGCTCCAACTACACTAACTTTGAGCTTGACCTGAGCAAGAAGATCCTCAACTTACTGAAGGTGTGAGTCAAGTTGTAGAAGGAAACAGAAGCAACAACACGACATTGGAGATGAGTTAGTGTTAGAAGCTGTGTGAGCTTCCTGGGCCGCTACCTCCATGTTTGCTCTTTTTAAAGGGTTGATAGTATATGTGCAGTCAGTCAGCAGCAGATGAACTGGTCTCAGTTCCTTCTGTAGATACAAGACGGCACCAAGCAGGACTTGTTTATGGTCTGTTTGTGTTTTAAGACGACGATGGACAGATAAGAAAATCAGATTGATGTGTTTCTCTCGTTCCTGGATTTCTGATGCTATGATGAGCTGTGTTGTTTGTGTCCACCAGGGGGCGTTCCCTGCCAGGCTGAAGAAGGTGCTGATTGTTGGGGCTCCTGTTTGGTTCCGGGTCCCCTACAACCTGCTAAGCCTGCTCCTCAAAGAAAAACTCAGAGAGAGGGTAAGGGGAGCTGCACATTCTCGTCACACACCTCTGACAGATGGCCTGGAGGTTAACACAAGAAGATATTCACATTCAGTGACATTTGGGTGAAGTCTACCTGGGTTATGGATCTTTAAAGGGGGCAGGGCTGAAGGCACATAGTTCCTGATGGAACTACACTAGGGTGTTCTTGTGCACAGCTTATCATGCAGCAACATTCAGTGTGAGCTGATGCTTTCTGATTCCAGGTCCAGATGGTGAAGATGGCAGAGCTGCGTCTGCACCTCCCCAGAGACTGCCTCCCCCAGCACCTCGGTGGCCTGCTGCCTCTGGACTCATTCAGCTGGAACCAGCAGCTTCTGGCGGGTCAGAACGGCAGAGTGGACCCTGTTGACGAGCTGGTGGGAATCCCCCTGGAAGACTCATCCATCCACGTCCCGGGACCAGAGTCCATGCGGCCCCAGGAACTGCTGGCTCACCTTGGTAGGCTTCAGCGTTCAGGCATCCACCTGGAGTACGAGGAGCTGCGTAGAGAGGCGCCGCCTGGTACCTTCCACTACGCTCAGTGGGTTCAGACGCACATAAGGCGCTTCACATTAGCGTCGGTACGGTCGGGGTTTGGTGGGGCTAATCCCTGAGCCCATGGGCCCTGCGTTTAATACACACGGAAAAGTCTGCGGTGTCCTCCATAATTCAATTCAGTTCAGTTTTATTTATATAGCGCCAAATCACGACAAGAGTCGTCTCAAGGCACTTCACATAATAAACATTCCAATCCAGGTCCGTTCATTAAGCCAATCAGAAATAATGTTTCCTATATAAGGAACCCAGCAAATTGCATTCAAGTCACTGACTAGTGTCAGAGTCTTTACATCAATCCTCATACTAAGCAAGCATTTAGCGACAGTGGAGAGGAAAACCCCCTTTTAACAGGAAGAAACCTCCAGAGGATCCTAAGGTAAACAAAGGCGGACATGAGCTGTGCTGCTTTTGGAGACTGAATCACCTTATTTTATTTATTCGCTGTGTGTGTCCTCATGATCTTGTACCACACACACACACACACTGCTTTCCCCTATGAGCAGCTGCCTGTCGGCTCGCTGGGGTGAGAGCTCCGATGCAGAGGACAGGCACACACACAGCTCTCCCGTTCCCACTGAGCGGCCACTCCCTGCTACAGACAGAGGACTTTATTTAACAGCATCCAGCATGAAAATGAATGAACACCCCCCCCCCATCCACCCCAGTAGTGTCTCCTCGGCTCCAGTCGGACCGCTGGGGAGGAGGTCTGAAAAAGAAGTTGCCTCGAACTGGAAAACGCATATCTGACCCATTTGTGAAACCAAATTCCGGTTCTGTACCCGGCTGTGCCGACGCTAATGTGTAAGTGCCATTAGTCCCAACATTCACAACTGTTCTGCTCTAGATGATTCTGGTCGGCCATGTTGGTGTCAGTAATGACTTCCTAATGTTTTGTCTACAGAGCATCTTATAATCAGGAAAAAAATCGCTATGGAGACGTGCTGTGCCTCGATCAGACCAGGGTCCGGTTGAAACCCAGGAGGAATGAGGTAAAATCTTTCTGATGAAATACAGTCAAATCATTCCGTCACTTTAAGCAGCTGAGTGACAATCAGGTGAGCTGCGGCTTACCCTCAAGGAGTCCTCTGAGGTTCAGAAGCAGTCAGCTGCTAGATTTGGTTCCAATTCCTCCTCAGCTGGTGTGAAATCTCCTCCTTTCTTTTCTTTGTTGTTCTCCCAGAGGTCTGACTATATCAATGCCAGCTACATGGACGGCTACAAACAGAGGAATGCCTACATTGGTACTCAAGGTGAGACTATTGTTAGGAGCACTTTTTCCATCAATGATGACAACGAATAAATCATTTTGTTATTTACCCCATTTGCTTGTAACAAATACGAGATGCTGATGTGATAAAAATAGCTCTTTGGTGACCAAAACAGGACAAGACGTGAGTTTTCATTGATGAGACGAGAATGGATTAAATAATGCTTAAAATTAGGCTTGGGTGGTATTAAGGTATTGCCGTATACAGCCAGTGTTCAAAAATAGCAATGGTGTCAGTTCCAATACTGTCATTAAAGAGCAGAGCACATAGGTGACAACGGTCATTTAATGTATAAAACAGATGCGTGGTTGAATTTTCAGTTTTGCATAAACAGTTTTAAAATGTTTTGTTCAACATTTGGAGATGTTCCATAAAGTTTATGAACGTGATGTCATCACATGACAGTGTGAAGGAGACGCACCAAGAGAGACGGGGAGAAAAATGGCAGGTCGTGTGCCAACTGACTTGGTCTTTATCCGCTTCCGGGTTGGTAACAAGATGGCGCCTGTGCTTGGATTACCTGTCTGACCTTGTGACTTGTTTTGTGCTAAACCAGATGTTGAGATTTGCCGATTACTTGCTGCCTCATGTTCCCACAATGAAATATAAAACGCGAGGGCAGTGTGCTTTTATCTATGCTGCTCCGTCCCTCTGGAGTGCTCTTCCTCTCTCAGTGAGGCTGGCACCATCCCTCCCCCATTTCAAGTCACTGCTTAAGGCTCACTTTTACAACGAGGCATTTTAAATCCTTGACTTTTATTAATTATTTTTATTATGTATTCTTTTATTGACTGTGATTTTACTGCTTTGTTGTGTACTTTTATTATTGATTGTGTTTTAGTTTTTATCTGTACAGCACTTTGGTTGCCTGCCATGGTGGTATGGTATGGTTTAGCCGGCCACTTTTTAAAAGTTTTCTCCACTAGCCTCCTCTTTTCCGCCTTGCTCCTGTCTGCGGTCCTCTTCGGTAGTATCCCGGCTACCATCTCCTATAATCACCAGACTTTTTTGTCCTTCCATTCGTCCACGATCGCCCAAGTTTACCTGCCTGTTTGTTTACGTGAGTCACATGCTGGACCAGAGCCAAATTCTAATTCCTACCCGGACGCCTCCAGTGATGTTTATCCGATTCTGGGAAAACATCCGAGGAAAAGGGGTAAATGAGCAGGAATCCATATGAGAATAAGACTTCTCTTAAGACGTGGTATATCTAGAAAACATTGGAGTGATCTTTTAGCTTCTTGTCTTTTGTTTAGCAACCTGAGCGCCATTTCCACATTCCCGCCAGGCCACGATGCGGCACGGTTTATCCTCTTTCTTGAGTGGTTTCTCCTCCTGTTCCCTCCATAAGTGGATTTTATAAACACTGTGAACCTAACCCTGCTAACTTCCATCCACTAACTCCAGCTGTTTCTATAGTTTCAGATTCCTCCACCTCAATCAGCATGGCTTTATTAAATACCCGCTCTATTAACAATAGGTCCTTCCTGCTCCATGATCTAATTCTCTTTAAAAACCTGGATTTTCTGTTTCTGACTGAAGTTTGGCGGCAAACCTCTGACTATTCTGGTCTGATTGAACTTTGCCCGAGTGGTTATTCTTTTCTTAGCCAGCCCCGGGGTTCTGGTGGTGGTGGAGGCCTAGATGTTGTTTTTAGAGACCATCTTCCATGTAGCTCTATGACCTCTGGTTGCTTTGCTTCCTTTAAACTGAAGCTGATTAAAGTCGGGTGTAAGGACCCGTTCTACTGTGCTGTGGTTTATCATCCACCTGGTCCAAACAGTTCTTTCCTTCAGAAGTTTAGTGACCTTTAATCCTCCACTGTGAAGCTGTCCAGACTGGTGCTTGTTGGTGGTTTTAACATTCAGATTGATGATGCCTTAGACCACTTTGCCATGAGCTTCTCCAGCCTCATGGACTCCTTCAGCTTTACCCAGCATGTTACTGGTCCCACACACACCAGGGGGCACACTCTGGACCTTGTTTTTACCCTGATTTTAAGATGTTCAAAAGAATTGGTAAGGGATTGATTAATAGGTCTGAATGAAAATTGGTTGCTGCTTCTCCTCCTCACCCTGTACTTTGAGCAATATGATGATTTAAATTATTAGAAGGAGCCGACAAATTAAAATTAACCTAAGGCCCTTTCTGACTGTAGGAACCTTTTGTAGTTCCTAGAACCTTTTCGGCAACCAGCCCCCTTTTGCGCGCATTTGGACAGATAGGAACTAGGAACCATTTCCCGTAGTTCCTAGAACCATTTTAGCTCCTACTCTGAGGCTGGGACTTTATGTGGTTCCTATGGAACTAACGTGATGTTGACGCTTGGTGAGCTACGCCCCTTGCTTGATTTCAGCATCTTTTCTGTTCCGAATCGTGTTTCTTCATTGAGAAATGGACTGGACTGCATCCCAGATACTCCTGCTGCCGCCAGCTCACCTTGCCAAAACCGAACAGGTAAAGAAAACAGTTTTAATGCATTTACAAATGTTTAGTCTCTTCTGTTGATATAACGAAAGGAAATTGTCCATTTTGGGATTAAATCTCGGAGCGAAAGCTGCCGATAGCGAGCATGTATTTGTATCAATACAATGGGTTCTCTGACCGGTTTCAGAGCTTGGTCCGCATTGCCGGCAGTAAGTCGGGCTCATTCCCAGTGAGAATTGGACTCCGCCAAGGCTGCCCTTTGTCACCGATTCTGTTCCTAACCTTTATGGACAGGATCTCTAGGCGCAGCCAAGGTGTGGAGGGCATCCGTTTTGGTGGCCTGAGGATCAGGTCTCTGCTTTTTGCAGATGATGTGATCCTGTTGGCTTCATCAGAACGTGACCTTCAGCTTTTGCTGGAGTGGTTTGCAGCTGAGTGTGAAGCAGCTGGGATGAGAATCAGCTCCTCTAAATCTGAGACCATGGTCTTGAGTCAGAAAAGGGTAGAACGCCTTCTCCGGGTCAGGGAGGAGGTCCTGCCCCAAGTGGAGGAGTTAAAGTATCTCGGGGTCTTGTTCACAAGGGAAGGAAAACTGAAGCGTGAGATCGATAGGCGGATTGGTGCTGCATCTACAGTGATGCGGGCGTTGTACCGATCTGTCGTGGTGAAGAGAGAGCTGAGTCAGAAGGCGAAGCTCTGGAATTACCGGTCAATCTATGTTCCTACCCTCACCTACGGTCATGAGCGTTGGGTAGTGACCGAAAGAACGAGATCGTGGGTACAAGCGGCCGAAATGAGAGATGGGGGAGAAGCCCTGTCATTCGGGAGGTGCTCGGGATAGCCCCGCTGCTCCTCCACATCGAGAGGCGCCAGTTGAGGTGGCTCGGGCATCTGGTCAGGATGCCTCCTGGACGCCTCCCTGGTGAGGCTTTCCGGGCACGTCCAACCGGGAGGAGACCTAAAGGTAGACCCAGGACACGGTGGAGGGACTATGTCTCTCACCTGGCCAGGGAACGCCTTGGGATTCCCCCGGTGGAGCTGGCCCAAGTTAGCTGGGGAGAGGGAAGTCTGGGCCTCTCGACTTAGGCTACTGCCCCCGCGACCCGACTCTGGATTTGCGGATGAAAATGAATGGATTGATGGATGGATGGATATTGTGTACATTCATTTTCTGATATAAGCAGTACATAGATGCTATCATCTATAGTACATTATTATGGTGGGCTGGTTTGATTAATATGTGGTTTATAACTTATCACTATCAAGTAAGTTAGTTTAGGACACTGTATGTTACTGGTAAAGGTATTTTATAACTTATTTTATTCTGAAATGTTTATCCATCCAGCTGCTACACAAAAGCCAGCATCTGCAGAGGCATCAGCTTCTTTCAGCCAGCTGCTGGCAGCCTCTGCCACCCTACACCAGCTACAGAACAGTCTTATTATATATGCAAATGTTTAATCTCTGTGGACATCAACCTGGTTTAATTCTACAATATTTAATCATTCAGCATCTACACTGTACCTACAACCTACTACCTACCAGCACCCACTGCCACCCCAGACCTTGTACACACATCTCATTCCACAGAATTATAGTTTAGTTTATTATATGGCTCTTGTGTGTTAATTCTATCTCCACTCTCCATGTTTGTTTTCCAGGAAGGAGAAGAGGGGGCAGCACACATCTGGCTACTGTGCAGGAGATGCTCGGGTCAGAGGCTGAACAGGAGGCAGAGAGATGAACGGTTTAATACCTTGATGCAGTTCTTCTGTGAGCTGACAGAGAGGGAGTCTAAAGAACATCCAGCTCAGGAGGAGCCAGCCACCGACAGAAGCTCATGGAGGGTCTCTAGTCTGAAGTGAACTTGTGACTACACGTGCACAAAGCATATCATGCACATATGTGAACAGTTATTTTTACACTGAAATACTTGACTTTGTAGCAGGCATGTTTTTAATAAATGACTTTAAGAGTCAGAAGTATTCCTTGTCTCTGATTGATGTCAGCTAGATGTAGTTTGGTCATATGAACTATTAGATCACATTAAGCCTTTCTTATCCTCAGGCGTGTAATCTACTCCAGTTACTCAGGTGTGTAATATACTCCAGTTACTCAGGTGTGTAATATACTCCAGTTACTCAGGTGTGTAATATACTCCAGTTACTCAGGTGTGTAATATACTCCAGTTACTCAGGTGTGTAATATACTCCAGTTACTCAGGTGTGTAATATACTCCAGTTACTCAACTCTATAAGAGCCCAGATTACAGCAGGAAGTGGATCACATGTAACAAAGTTCACACATTCAGAGATTTTGGGCAGCTTGAAGCACACACACTACTTTTTACATTTTAACCTCACGTGACACATTTTAGTCAAGTCAAGTTCATTTATAAAGCACTTTACAACAGCATAAAAGCTGACCAAAGTCCTTAACAAGCCAAAACAAACAGAAGTTTCCTAAAATGCTAAAAATAAGATAAAAGTTCATCAAAAAATAAAAATCATGACAAAAACAAACAAATCAAGCTGACATAAAAGCTACTAAAACAG